TCTCTCTCTCTCTCTCTCTCTCTCTCTCTCTCTATATATATATATATATATATATATATTAACGATACTGTACAGAGGGGTTACAGTTATGTGAGTAATGAGTACATTTCCTATTAAGCATTGTTACCCCCTCCTTTATTTTTCCCCTACCATCCCTTCCCTCCCACCTCCCCAACTCCTCCTCACCCCTCCCAAGCTATAAAGTTTGTTTTCAACGTAGTGTATTGTACATCTCATTGTTCCATTGGTAATTTATCAGTCTACCTTAGAAGACTTAGAGCTGCTCCACACAGAAGTGTAGATATGGAAAACAGATACAGATAATTTATAGCAGGATATTTTGCCACTGAAGAACATCAGGATTCATGATGTCAAGGGACTTAGAGCCATTAGAATAAGACTTGGCTCATGGCAAGTGCCAGGACATTTTGGCTGCTGTTATTAGTAGGATTGGAACCCAAGTCATTTGAATTTAGTTTAGTAATTTCTTCTCAGTTGTAATTGAATCTCAGTCTCCTACTTAATTCATTTTATTTTTTCTGGTCATATGATTTGGGACACACACACACACACACACACAGAGACAGAGAAAGAGAGAGAGAAAGACAGAGAGAGAGGGAGAGCTTCTTCATTTCTCAGGTGCAAGAGGTCCAACCTACATCTTTATGAATGGTTGGCAAGCACTCTATTGATGAGCCACATTCTCAGCCCTGTCTATAGGAGAGGTTAAGCAGAGATGAATTTTGAAATGTAATTATTTAGATAGTTTGAGAATCTCTTTCAAGGTGAAAAAAAAAAAGGCGGTTTAAAGTTAAAAAGATCTGAGCTGCTATCTTTTCTTCCCTTCTCCTTTGGCTTCATGTACAGCTGTGTAAGTTTTTGACCTTTTGAAGCTCAAGGAGAATCTTAGAGGTGTTGAGTATGTACTTCAAGAAGCTTCTAAAACTTTTCTAATAACTCGATTGAGTATACTTAAAACTAATATGTTATACCTAAGCTTTTTATGTATGTTTTCTGCCACTAAAAATTGAATTCTGCCCCCTGTACCTATGAAACGGTCAATATATGTTTGATGTAGAACAAATGAGATGATAATAGATTTTAACTTTTGGCTTTGGTTTTTCTATTGCCTTTAGGCTATATTAATGGGGGGCAGTGCACACATGCTCACACATATGTACCTATGCACTCCCCCCCCTTTTGATTTCTTGCTTCTGTGAGGATTCTGAGTTTTGCTTCTGCCATAGTTTCATATGTGTGTTTGAAATGAAGTTCCTTTTTAGAAAGAAATAGCTATATCCATTTAAGTTTTTTTTAATTAAAAATTATTGGCATAGTTGTACAAAGGGGATTCACTGTGATAGTTACATGAATGCATGTAATGTACTTGGATACAATGTACTTGGATTCCTTAACTGCCTATTTAAGTTTCTCTAAGAATGAACTTGACTTACTTTGTTCAACCAACGTTTTCTTTTCTCTTTTCAGAGGATGTTAAGCAAGTGTTTGGACAGACTACAATTCATCAACATATTCCATTTAACTGGGATTCTGAATTTGTACAACTACATTTTGGAAAGGAAAGAAAAAGACACTTGACTTATGCAGAATTCACTCAGTTTTTGCTGGTAGGTCTAGCTCTTACATTTTAAAAAAAGTATTTAGTAAAACCTAGGATCCGATTTTGTATAAAAGGACACTTTCTTTGACTTGAGCTCTCAACTCTTAGTACTAGCTTTGTAATGCTGACAAGACTACCCCACATAAAGGTATCTCTCTATTAGTCTGTTGAAGTCATAGAAGTAAATGGGTTCCTGTCATAAGTCCCAAATTCAAATTCTAGTTTTATTTCACTTGAATTAATTGAGTAACCTCAAGTGAATCATTTAATTTCATGGGGTCTCAATGTGTATTCAAACAGAAAGGGATTCTACAATACTGGCAGACTTTGCCAGAACCTCTGAGTTGGGGCAGAGGTAGAGGGTACAGACCCCCTTATTTATGTATCTGGCCATGGCCATTTTTACCTACTAGCATATTGTAATAGATAAACTCCCATTAATGATTTTCTTTAGTAATGCTACAAAACATAGATAGAATTTACTGTGCTTTTTAGTTTGGGTTTATTTTCCTGGGTTTTTAAAACTTAAACCTTGAACTTAAAAACCTGCCTTTATATTTTCTTTTGTGATCATGATAATGTCTGTGAATCCCCATGTTCAGTTCTCTATAAACATAAACCTAGTTAAAGAACTCAGGTGGAGAGTGGAATGTGAGTTATAAGAATTTTGCTGATGTTTACCCAGGACACTGGCACACCATAGGAGGCAGTATTCATTTTGATGAGGAATAATTACAATAATGCTATTGAGACAAATGACTCAAATTGACTTTATGGAACACAGCCTAATTAACTTTTAGTCTTAATGGGATGTTCGAAATAGTAAGGATGATCGCATTTCCCCCTGTAAGTAACTATCAATTATGGTGATTCAAACCGATTGTAAACCACTTAACAACAGCTCCTAGGCTTTCCTCAAGCGAGGAAGCCAGAGTCAAGGCTTAGCTGGCTCAGGGATGAAAGGTCATGTTTCCAGGTTCTTCTTGAGTATTCACTTGGATTTGACTCCATTCTGTGATGGTAAGTAGATATAGCCCTCAGAGTCCTACATGAGATGATTTTGATTTTGGAGTAAGAATGGAAGCCTTGAACTTTTACTTGGATGGTTTTGGCTGTGGCCTTGCTTTGATGCCCAACTCCAGACCCAGTTTTAAAGGAAGTTCTATTATGATAAACTTTATTTACATCTATGCCAGTTTAGTTATCTGTCTTGGGTCAGGTCCCTCCATTTCAAATGCTTTGTCTACTTCCTTTGAAATGTTTTCTTTTTTTTTTTGTTGGTCGCTTGAACTCTGGGCTTGGGCACTGTCCCTGTGCTCTTCAGCTCAACGAGAGTGCTTTACCACTTGAGCCACAGCACCACTTCTGGTTTTCTAGCGGTTTATTGGAGATAAGAGTCTCACGAACTTTCCTGCCCAGGCTGGCTTTGAACTGTGATCCTCAGATCTCAGCCTCCTGAGTAGGTAGGATTACAGATGTGAGCCGCTAGGCGCCTGACTCTTTGAAATGTTTTCTGAATGCAGGGAGAACTTTAAACTTCAACTTCAAATACTTTGCTTCCTTGGGCTCTTTTCTTTATGCAGATAGCTTCTGAAAGCTAGAAAATGTATTTAATTTCCTGTGTTTCTGGCTTGTGCTCTGTCAGGCACGTGCTGCCATTCTGCTGTAGGGCAGGGCTTAGAAACACAGGCATGGGTTTGCTGGCTGGTGCCAATATGGTAATAGCAGATGCTTGGCTCTTTGGGATGTGAAAGTGCTGTCACCATTGTGTGGCTAACTGTCACTGATAAGGAAGAGAAGCAGCTTCAAGGATGGTACCTGTCATTTCTAGGAGCTTCAATGGATATTCAGATACTGAAGTTTCCTAGAAAGCAGCTCTTTTGATTGCAGTCAGCAGGTGTTACCCATGCTTATGTTACAGATGCATGTGTGTGATTGGTGTAGTGCCATTTTCTGCAAGTTCCAGACTTTTTTCCATTTAATAATGCTGTTCATATCTAAGCAAATGTGAGTTTATTATGTGATGATGGATCTTACTTGATTTATATGCTCATTTGTGTATGGTCTGGGTAAGAGCCTCACCCTGATGTGGACAGTCATGAGAATTGTTTCAGTGATGTATCCGTTCTTGTACTTTGTAAGGAGTGAGTCAGTATGATTCTTTGAGCTAAACTTGCCTAATTTGTACTGTGCATCCAACTAATAATGCCAAATAATGATGCCAGAGTACATAGCAGAGATATAGGCATCCTTCCTATAATCTTGTTTTATGTTGGTGGGGAAGGATTTCAGAAGGTAGTAGGCCACACATTGCTGTTACCTTTCATTTATACTGTTGCATTGACCATTGCTTTATTTTTCTACTTGCTTATTTTTGTGCCAGAGATTGAACTCTGGACCTTGTGTACACTAGCACACTGAGCTCTATCCCTAGCCAAACTGCTGCTGTTTTTCTCTTTTATATCCAGTCAGTTATTTTATTTCATGGACAACGATGTGTATGTATATATGTATGTAAATGTTAATAATATATGTCTTAACCTAGGCACTGGTGACTGTAATCCTAGCTACTCAGGAGGCTGAGGATCTGAGGATCATGGTTCAAAACCAGCCTGAGCAGGAAAGTCTATGAGACTTACCTCCAATAAACAACTCAGAAAAAGCTGGAAGTGGTGCTGTGGCATAAGTGATAGAATGCTAGCCTTGAGCACAGAGAGGCTCAAGAATAGAGCCCAGGCCCTGAGTTCAAGCCTCAGGACCAGAAAAAAAAAAGAAAAGGAAAAAAAAGATATGAAAATCATCTGTGAAATGCTCCATGTACTTCTACTCAGTTCATAGAGCAAAGATCTCATTTTATCATTGCTTATACAAAATTGGACTTTAGCCAGGCGCCGGTGGCTCACGCCTATAATCCTAGCTACTCAGGAGGCTGACATCTGAAAACTGGAAGTGGTGCTGTGGCTTAAGTTGTAGAGTGCTAGCCTTGAGCTGAAGAGCTGAGGGACAGCACCCAGGCTCAGAGTTTAAGCTCCACAACTGACAACAAAACAAAACAAAAAAACAAAAAAACTGGACTTTTGAATATTAATACAGATATTGAGAAAATCTGGACAAATTTTTCTATTATGTATTTGTGCAGTCTTTTTTGTAGATGTTGCCTCAAATTGTTTAAAAGCATGTTTTGTGCTATAATTATTCTAATGTGATACAATTCATTCACTTCAATAAATTTCATGGAATATATAGAGTTTGTTCTAAGTCTTGTTCAAAAGACTGAGGGTTAAAACAGTTCTTAAAAACTCATAATGTAAAAATCTGGGAGCTTGTCCCTGTGTAACCACTTGGTTAGGCCAACAGAAAGATTGTAGGCGTACAAGGTATACTCTGAGTTTATTCTATTGTAACAAAACCTTAACAGGATCCAAAATAGAGACTTACAGAGTCAGGTACATGGCTAAGGTCATCTAGATAACTGTCCCATTCACAGAGAAGACATACCTTTCACTGTGTAGACTTGTAAGAGTTTACTTATTTGTGGTTTTGAGTTATACCTGTCTAATAACTGAAGCAATTAAAGCACTTTAAAGTACTCTTTGGCTGCTTTGAAGAAATGTCTGTTCTTTGCTTAGTTTTTTTTTTTTAAATGAATGGAATATCATAGAGCACAGAGTAAAAGTTCTCAAACTTTTCTGCCAAACTATTCAAGAATCAATTCTAAGGCACACTTTTAAAAAAGAAGAAATCAGGAAGTGGCGATATGGCTCAAGTGGTAGAACGCTCGCCTTGAGCTGAAGAGCTGAGAGACAGCGTCTACGCCCAGAGTTCAAGCCTCATGACCGACCAAAAACAAAAAAACGAAGAAGAAATCATAGTATCTAATACATGTATGATCTTTATTGTTTACAAAGTACTTTTTGATACTGTTCTGATAGTAGCATCCTCTGAATATGAGAGGTAAAGTTGTCATTATCTCCTATTATATGCAAAAAAAAAACAAGTTTTAGGGTAAAATTTGGTATTTACAGGTAATTTTCTGGGGAAATTACCCATAGCTTTCATTAAGCTCCCAGAGGAGTCTCCCAGACTGGTAACATTGGCTGCTCTAGAGTTTAGCTTTTTTGTGAGATTACAGGCATGTATGTGATAGACTCAGAAATAGGATGTTGTTATCACTCTGCTGTACTTTGTCCAGGGCTAAGGCTGTGGGTAAAATGTTTTGTTCTGCATAGGTCAGGGTGCATTGCTGGACTCCTGAACCCTGTCCTTCATTTGAGAAACATTGGTTTAGCCTAGATACCCTGAATATTTAAAAACATTGCATCTGGCCTCAGGTTTTTATCCTAGGGCTGCACTAAAGCCTGTAGAGGTAGATCTGGTCAGACTTGTGTTTGAGAAGGATCAGGCTGACTGCTATATGGGAAATTAAGTATATAAAGACATTGCCGAGCCAGTCACTGGTGGCTCACTCCTGTAATCCTAGCTACTCAGGAGGGTGAGATTTGAGGATCGAGGTTCAAAGCCAGCCAGGGCAGGAAAGTCCGTGAGGCTCTTATCTCCAATAAACCACTAGAAAACCGGAAGTGGTGCTGTGGCTCCAGCGGTAGAGCGCTCTCCTTGAGCTGAAGAGCTCAGGGGCAGTGCCCAGGCCTAGAGTTCAAGCCCCACGACTGACAAAAAAAAAAAAGACATTGCCGAAGAAAGGTAGACCGGTTGTTCACTATCTGACTTAAGAGTGAAACAACTGTGACCTAGGTTGGATGGAAATCGTGATGGGCCAAAGTAAATGCATTCAAGAGAAGCCAAGGCACAGTCCTGACAGCATTTGGTGATTTAGCAGGAAGGAGCTAGTCAAGGATTTTCAGGACTGCGGTCAGTTCCTAGATTTTATTCTTGGGCAAGTGGGAGGAAATTGTGTTTATGAAAGAGGGAACACAGGAAGAAGGGAAGCTTCTAAGGATGGGTGTCAGGTCGTACTTTGCAGTTAATATATTTGTTGGTGCATTGGCT